ACTTTAGCATTTTGACTAGTAATACATAGATTATCCATTTTTTCACTTAATGTGATATAAAGTTTTTGAGGAAATGTATACTGATAAATATTATTAAAGCAAAACAAAATTTTAAAATATTCCTTCTACTTGCTGAAGTATTAGCCACCCCCAGTTCTCACTAATTACTATGGAACAGTAAAGGCTGATGGAAAGAGCTTTTAACTATGAGCTTCCGTTTGTTTCTTTAATCACTAACTAAAGTTCAACATGCAGGTTGTTATCAAATCTAATTTAATGATATTTTGTATGAGATTTATGTATTCCCAAAACTCATTTTTGTGAACTGGGAGGATTAAAATAATTTATTCCAAAGTTTAAGTTTTTATAAGAAACATTTGTTATAAAACTTGATAACCATCCTGCATACTTTCTTCTGATATGACTTTTAAAATTATGTAAAACAATGTTGTCTATGAATCATTCATATGGTTTTTAGTTAGGCCCAAAGATATTTCATGATTCACCACATATGCATTGTTTTCCATTCTTTATTTTTAATCTGATGAACACTTGTTTGGGTGCTTATTTCAGGAAATCAGAAATGTGCTAGTTATTGTGGAGGGAAACACAGTTTAAGACATGATCCCAGCCTTCCATGAATGCATAGTTTTATTGAGAAGATAAATCAGACCCATGTAACATAGGACTAATCTTGTGTTTTGCTGGTATCTGGCAAACAAAGCAGTTGAATTTATGGGTTAGCCACTGGGTGCTGGCTTCTCAGAGAGAGTGGGTCCAGGAAAAAATGATTACTTCCTGGATAGGTAAGCTTCTTGCTGATGGTGAACACTAAGCAAATCTGTAAACACTGGAAAAATTTTTAGGTGGGAATTATTTTCTTATTAAATTTAAGCATACTTGCTTAGGAACTTCAACATGTACCACTAGCTCTAAAGGACAAAAGAACATGTATTTTTATATTTCTAAAGAACAATTTAGGATTTACGAAGCTTGCTCATAAAATTTTAATTGATTTGTTTATCAATGCACAGAGTAAAATATTTTCAAAAGCATTTTGCATTCAATTTACATTTAAAAATTCCTTTTTCCATGTACTGATACTTGTAGTGTGTTATTTGTAGTGATCGGAAAACTCTTTTTACTAAGACCCTCTCAGTAAAGATACACGAAAAGACGTTACTTAACTTAATCTAATAAAAACAAATTGTCTGTGGTTCCTGCATTCACTCTTGTCCTTAACATTATATCCTATTACAAAACTTCATTCCCTTCTCTGATGAACTTCTACTTCTTCATTTTTTTGTTATTGGAGTTTTTACATAGTCCACAAATACCCTAAGCAATCAACTGGATAATTATTATACTGTTGAATGAAAATAACACTCACAATAGGAATCCTTTTATGGACTACAAAAGCCCATTGAGGATATCATGCGGGCTGGACAAGCAGATTATATGGTGTCTTAAATAGTTTTAAGAACTTTTGCACTATTGCTTTCACCTGTAATGTAGACTAGAAATCCTGAAAATTCTGTCTTGCAAATATCCAATAAAGCTACATACAAGGGAATAAGATATTGCTCAATGCAAATCTCAGAGAAAGGAGCTTGTGAGAAAAGACTGGAAACCATCCAAAAGGAAAGTCTATGTCCAAACTAGAAAGACAGAGTTGAAGCAAGAAGCTGCCCTAAGCATTGCAGCATATCCTGGGTGACTTAATGCCTTTGACTTTAACAACTGTGCTGCTACTGTGTGGGAGACTGATGGTGCTAATGGCCCTGTTCTCCAACCACTCTGTGCCTGTGCTTTTTTGACATGTGACTTTAGAGTTCCTCTCTTAATGATAAAATTTATTTCCCTACACACATGATTTACTTTAGTTCACAGCAGAAGTTAGCACATACCACTTACAAACCTAGGTCTCCACAGGCCATGCATGCTTCTATTTGCTATCATGCATTTCTGCCATTGTCAAAAGAAGCTCATGTCTATGTTACTCCACTGGCCTCAGAAAGAGGAGAAGAAACACTTGGAACAAGCCCAGCTGTATCATGTGACAGCCAACACCACCACCCCTCAGACACATGAGGAAGACCAGGGGGGATCTGTGGGAATGGAATGGGAGAGGGAGCGGGAGATGGCAGGGTTGCGGGTGGAAGGGAAATTATGGGGGGGAAGCCATTGTAATCCATAAATTGTACTTTGGAAATTTATATTTATTAAATAAAAGTTTAAAAAAATAAACAATTTGTCCAAAGAAAAATCTACTGTTTTAATCTATTATCTTAAAACTTCTATAGTCAACAATTTGCAGAAATAACAACATTTTTATAAAGGGAAACTATTCTACTCCCATCTTTTCATCAATACTAAAATGTTTGGTCTTAACAGAGCTTTGTCCATTCAGAAAAATAAAATTTAATGAGCCCGACCTTTCATATGTAAAATACTTTCTATCTCCTCTGAACCTGTTTTTAGCTCTTTATATTGCTTTGTTCCTCAGCTATTGCTCACTAAATTCCTACTTCCAGTTGGAGTTAAACATCATAGATGTACCATTCCTCCTCTCTGTATTTTCTCACAGCAGTGGTGTCTATAATTTTATTGAATATCCCAGTAAGCAACTATTTCTGATTTTTCTGAATAACTTGTTGATCAGACCCAACTCTAAACTTTACTATTATTGTTTTGGGCCACACTGCCTCAATCCACCAATTATAGTTGTCCCCATGATCAATTTCTTCACCTCAATTCTTACCTACATTTGAACCCATAGCAAGGCAATTCTGAGAGCCGAATTCTTCCTCATTATTTTGATGATATTAATAATGTGGAATTAATTATCCAACCTTTTTATATATGATCTAGGAAATAAAAGTTTCTGAGACAAATCTCTGTACCATCAATTTCCTGTTATGTTCCTCTGTCCATGCTGACAACCAAGCAAATATTTTTACCTATCTCCTCCATTCAAGTAGTTCTATTTACCTTTTTTCTCCACATATATCACATATGTAGGAATGATTTGAATGCAGTCTGTAAGCTTTAGTAATTGCATCTAACATTTGCACAGGGTTTTATGGTTTCTCTGTATTAACTACTAATTTGTTTGACACAAGAGGCTTTACGATTCTGATCATCTCCATTTTGCAGTTGGACTAAATGAAATTCATAGGATAAGTAACATTTAAAAATCTTACAGGTTGAAACAGATGGTGAAGTGGTATATATGTTCATAGGTGCTTTATTCTGAAAATGTCTTCACTAAAGTTTGCCTTTAAAACTAAAGGTATATTTAAAATGTAAGAATACTTTTCATTATACTTTCTGTATATCAAATGAGATTAAATCTCAACAGATGGAAAAGGCTTTCCACTTATATTAATTGGGTTATATGAAGTCCAATTGTAGTGCTTTGCTTTCTGACACTAGGAACAAAGTTCAGGAGTTCAGAATAGTTGCAAAGTTTTACAAACACTCTAACTAAAATTTATTTGCTGCATATTCATGTAGACCCAATTAATATTAAGCTACTCAACTACTTTTGGGTTCTTACTACCACTTGCAGAAATGCTCATCAAATATTTCACCATTTTTTACCCATTGCTTTTGATATTGTATTTGTTAGTTACATACTACTTTGAATATATTGTAATACTTTATTTGTATTTGGTGTTGTATATTAGATTTATTTTTTGAATTATAAAAGCATAATATCAGATATGATGAATTTTTCAAGACATAATTCTAATATTTGTCACTAAATATAATTTAAGCAAATCTTGTGTTTCTCAGATCAAAGTCTTAAAATATATATTTGAGAGAGACACACACACACACCCCCCAAAACAGAGGGAGATCAGCCAGCCACTGCTACCCTCCCTTAATATCTGCAGTAGCTGGGACTGGGTCTGGCTGAATTCAGGAGCTCAGAAATCAATCTGGGTTTCTCACAAGGGTATCAGGAATTCAAATACTTGAGCCATCACCTGCTGCCTCCCAGGGTGCATATCAGCATGAAGCTGGAAAGCAGAGCTGTGACTCTAACCCATGTGCTCTGATATGGGATGTGGGCATCCCACATGGTGTGTTAACCACTGCAGCAAATGTCTGCCCCAGAACAAGATATTCTAAAAAGACATTTATTATTACAAGTACAAATTTAGCATGGAATATTAAAAGGATATGGGAATGCCACAACTTGAAATTAAAACGCCCTGAAATCCCTCCACTAAAATAAAATTATGTTAAATTTTGCCTTATTCACCTTCGTTTTCCCCAGCATAACAAACAGTACTTTGTGCATAGTAAATCTTAACATATATTAGATCATGAGTATATAAATGATGATTATATGCCTAAGTGAATTTCTAAACAAAAATTAGATACTATTAGTAATTCTTTTTAAATTGTCCTTTTTGCACTTAAAAATATCCCTAGAAATTATACATATCAGTTTTCTCATGCAATATCATTTTAATATCTGTGTCATATCTAATTTTGGGAAAATCGATTAATATATTTTGAATTATGGCATATCTGTCATCGATATTGCCTTCATTTGAACTTCCATTGTATCTCTAAAAGTCCAAAATGCCTCTCGGTTGGACAAAATAGGCCCTTTCAGGCCACTCTCCTCTTGCCCTGACCCCAAACCAATACCCACCTGAGAAATTATTTGCCATTCCCCAGAAGTGACACCAACATTTTTCACTCTGTGGGCCCCATGATACACTCTTCCTTCCATTCTTTGTCCCTTCAAATTCAACCATGGTTTCATTCCTGGATTTCCTATCCCAGTGGCCTTCAGAAATTAACATAAGTCACATAGAACAAGTCATGTAGTAAAGTTGGAGAGAACTGAAGTTTTATGTCAATTCAGAAAGAAAGGAACATTTTGATCCAAATAAGTGGTCAAGTTCTAGACAAGATCTTTTCTGTTTTCCTACTAGCAAGAAAAAGTGGCCCAAGACAACATATTCTTTTCTTCTCTTCAGGAAACAATTGCTTTTAATTCTTCTCTTCTGAGGCCCCGTGTGATTGGAGAATGGATTGGCAGAGAAGACAATGATGCTGATCCTCTTGCTGCTGAAATGCTACAGCCTCCAATTCCAAGAAGTAAAAATGACCAATGGGAAAGTGAAGACAGTGGCTCTAGCCCTGCAGGAAGGTGAGTGAGATGTTGTCTTAGATTCTATATTATCAGTTATTAAAATGGAAAAGGAAAAATACATTAAATTGCATGATTTCAATGAAAGAATTGTTTTCAGCAAACCTATGTAGAAAATAGGATATACTTAGGTTAAAAATGTATTACTTTCTTTTAAAACTAGAATGATACTAGACTTGCTATGAGGTTATGGTTTTGATGATTTTCTTCATATCTTTGATATCTTTATCGTCTTGTTACTAACACCAAATAGGGAGATAATTTCAGGAATGTTAGCTATCAGTCAATATCTGCTATAATACTGAGCATGGAGTGGCTGGCTAAGATCAGAGGAGGGTATCAGTGTCATGGCACAGTAGGTTAGGCCACCAATTGTAAGGATGCTGGCATCCTACACAGAGTGCTGATTAGAGTCCTGTCTGCTCTGCTTGTAATCCAGCTTCCTGCTGATGTCCCTGGGAAGGTGGTGGATGGGAAGTTGTTGGGGCCTGCCATCCACATAGGTGACCAGGAGAGTGTTTAGACTCCTGACTTCTGCCTGATCTAACTGTTATGGGTCATTTGGGGAGTACACCAGCAGACTGAAGATCTCTTTCTCTCTCTCTGTATCTCCCTCTCTGTCTCTATCACAATGGCTTTAAAAGAAAAACATAATTGGAGGGAGCACATCTGATGTGCTAGAACAATGTAGTCAGTCATCATGGAGAAGAAAGTTAATGGATCTGTAATAGAGAGGAGATGGAGTTAGTGTGGAATATAAAGACCAAAATAAAAATTTAGAAAAATTGTAATGTGAAACTAGTTGAATATAATTATTTAAATTTTCTTTAATTTTTATTTTGTTTAAGTAATACAAATTTTATGTATTTCATATACACAGATTTAGACACTTAGTGATATTTCCCACCATACATTCCATCCTGCCTATGTTTCCACCCTTCTTCCTCTTCCCACTCCTATTCCCACTGTTCAGTTTTACAAAAATTTATTTTCAGTTTTACTTTATACTCATAATATTAACTATACACTAACTAAAGAGTTCAACAAATAGTATAAAGAACAAAACACTGTTCCTCCACAGTAGACAAGGACTGTAACAATCACTGAATTTTAAAATGTCAACTTAATTCCTATATATTACATTTTAGGTATGCTATTAGTTACCACAGATCAGGGAAAATATATGGTGTTTGTCTGTTTGGGACTGGCTTATTTCACTAAATACATGGTTTAAATTGTATCTATTTTGTACCAATAAACAGGCTTTCACTTTTTTTTCTTTCCACTGAGTGGTATCCCATATTATATATGTACCTTAATTTCCTTATCAGTCATCAGTTTATGGACATTTGTGTCAATTCCATATCTTAGCTATTGTGAATGAGCTGCAATGAACATGGAGGTACAGATAACCCTTTCATATGATGATTTTATTTTGTTTGGGTAAATTCCCAGGATAGGTATTACTGGGTTATGTGATAGATCTAATTTAGATTTCTGAGGTATCTCCATACTGTCTTCCACAATAGCTGTACCTGTTTACATTCCCATTGAAAGTGGATTACGGTACCTTTTTCTCCTTACCAGCATTTGTTGTTTGTTGATTTCCATATGAAAGCCATTCTGACTGGATTGAGGTGAAACCTCACTGTGATTTTGATTTGCGTTTTCCTGATATCTAGTAATCCTGAGCACTTTTTCAGGTGTCTGTTGACAATTTGAATTTTCTCTTTTAAAAAATTCATAACTGGATTCTTTGCTTTGTTGTTATTGAGTTTCTTGGGCTCTTTATAGATTCTGGATATAAATCCTTTCTTAGTTGGGTAGTTTGCAAATATATTCTGCCATTCAGTCGGTTGCCTGTTCACTTTGTTGTAGATATTTTGGTAGTGCAGAAGCCTCTAAGCCTCTTGTTATTCCATTTGTCAATTTTGACTTTGATTGCCTGTGTATCATGGTATTTTCCAATAAGTCATTGCCCATGCCAGTGTGTTGCAGAGTTTTCTCAATGTTCTCTACTAATTTGATGGTTTCAGATTGTAGATTTAGGTCTCTGATCCATTTTGATGGAGTTTTGTGTAAGATGTAAGATAGGGATCTTGTTTCATATTTCTGGACACAGAGAACCAATTTTCCCAACACCATTCGTTGAAGAGACAGTACTTTTTCCATGGATTGATTTTAGCTCCTTTGTCAAAGATTAGTTGGCTACATATGTATGGATTGATTTCTGGGTTTTCTAATTTTTTCCAATGATTAACACATCATCTTTTTTTGCCTTTAGCAGGTTTTTTCAATTATAACTGGTCTGTAGTACATCTTGAAACTTCGTATTGTGATGCCTCCAGCTTTGTTTTTCTTGTGTAAGATTGGTTTAGCTACTTGTGGTATTTTGTGTTTCCATATGAATTTCAACCTCATTTTTTTCCTAGAACTGAGAAGAATGTCCTTGATATTTTGATTGGGATCGCATTTAATCTCTAATTTGCTTTCATTAGTATGAGCACTTTGATTATATTAATTCTTCCAATCTGTGAACATGGAAGATGTTTCCTTTTTTTGTATCTTCTTCAATTTCTTTCTATAATGTTTTATAATTTTCATCACAGAGTGTGGTGGAATGGGAAGGCCATACCAAGATGGCTGCTGGCAACAAACTGCCTGGCAACAGGCTGTGATTGGATGGCTTTGGAAACCACATGACGAGGGATCCTGCCTGGCAACAGCGCTGTGATTGGATGGCTTTGGAAACTGCCTGGAAACAGGGTGTGATGTGTTAGTGCATAGATCACCCCTTGACCAGATTGGCTGCCTTGGTTTAAGCTGCTGTAGCAACTGAAATAAATGAGTCTGCAGGCTGCTCGCCTCAGGCCTGCTTTCACCCAACTTCGGTGTCTGTCTGGTGACTCCGTGCCTCTTGCCCTCACCATGCTCTCCTCTCAGAATGATTCCACCGCAACACAGAGATCTTTATCTCCTTGGTTAAATTTATTTCAAGATATTTAATTTTTTTGTTGCTGTTATGAATGGGATTGTTCTTACAAGTTCTTTTCCAGCCATGGCCTTTTCTATGTATACAAAGGCTATTTCTTTGTGTGTGTTAATGTTATATACTAGAATTTCACTAAACTCTGAGTTCCAATAGTCTGTGGAATCGTTTTGTTCCTGTATATATAGAAACATGTCATCCACAAATAGGGGTAGTTTGACTTCCTCCTTCACAATTTATATCTCTTGGATTTCTTTTTCTTGCCTAATGGCACTGGCTAAAACTTCCAGGACTATATCGAGTAGCAGTGGTGAAAGTAGGCATCCTTTTCTGATTTCAGATTTCAGTGGAAATCGTTCCAATTTTTCCCCATTTAATAAGAAGCTGGCTGTGGGTTTGTCATAAATTGCCTTGATTATGTTGAGAAATATGTGTTCTATCCCAATTTACTTATGATTTTTATCATGAAAAGATGTTGTATTTTATCAAATGCTCTCTCTGCATCTATTGATATAATGGTATGGTTTTTGTTCTTCAGTTTGCTAATGTGATGTATCACATATATTGATTTGGGAATGTTGATCCATTCCTTGCATATCAGGGATAAATCCTTCTTGGTTTGAGTGAATTATCTTTCTGAAGTAACGTTGGATTTGATTAGCTAATATTTTGTTGAGGATTTTGGCATCTACATTCATCAGAAAATTGGTTTATAGTTCACTTTCTCTGTTATATCTTTCTCTGATTTAGGAAAAAGATGATGGTAGCCTCATAGAAGGATTTTGGTAGGATTCCTTTCATTTTAATTATTTTTAATAGCTTGAGAAGAATTGGAATTAGTTCTTAAAAGTCTGGTAGCATTCAGCAGTGAAGCTATCCAGTCCTGGACTTTTATTTGATTTCAAGGTTCTTTATTACAGAGTCAGTCTCTGTCTTGGTTTGGTTGATTGTGTGTGTCCAGGAATCTATCAGTTTCTTCTAGGTTTTCTGATTTGTTGGCATACAATTATTTGTAGTAATTCCTAATGATTCATTTTATTTCTGTGGTGTTTGTTACATTTTCTTATTGATCTCTGATTTTATTGATTTGGCTTTTCTCCCACTTTTTTTTTTTTAAGTTCAGCCAATGGTATATCAATTTGGCTATTTTCTCAAAAAAAAAAAAAAAAAAAAAACCCAGCCCTTAATTTCATCAACCCTTTTGTATTTTTTGTTTACATTTTGTTTATTTCTTCTCTAATTTGATTCATTTATTTCCTCTTACTAATTTTGAGTTTGGGTTGCTGTTTTACTAGGTCATTTGTATGCATCAATAGCTTATTTATTTAGTGCCTTCCCAATTTCTTGATTTAGGCACAAATTGCTATAAACTTCCCTGTTAACACTGCTTTTGCTGTATCCCATAATGTGGTAGAATGAGAAGGTGATGGCTGCTGGTAAGCGAGCATCAGTTACTTAGGAATGGCTTTGAAACCCACTTGGCAATGGAGCCTGACTGGCAACAGGTTGTGATTGGATGGCTTTGAAAACTACATGGCAACAGGCTGTGATTGGTTAGGGCATAAACCACCCCTTGACCGGATTGGCTGCCTTGGCTATTTAAGCTGATGTAGCAACTGAAATAAATGAGTTTGCAGGCTGCTCGCTTCTGGCCCACTTTCACCTGACTCCCAGAGTCCTGTGTGGGATCCACCATGCTCCTCCTCTCAGAACAAACCCACAGTAACATCATAGGTTCTGATATGTTGCATTGTCATCTTCATTGAATTCCAGAAATTTTTTTATTTTTCTTTTGATTTCTTTGACCCACTGTTCATTCAGGAGCATGTTGTTCAGTCTCCATGTGTATGCATATGTTCTACAGATTCTTAAGTTTTTAATTTCCAGCTTCACTCCATTGCATTCAGAAAATATTTGTGGTATGATTTTATTTTTTTTTAATTTGATAGGACTTGCTTTATGGCCTTGCATATGGTCTATCCTAGAGAAAGTTCTGTGTACTGATGAACAG